TTTGAGTTCCTCTTTGCCCGCTGGAACAGAGTTAGGAGGTGTAGTGGTGAAATCTCCCCCTTAGATGTAGGACGACCCTTCAAGACCCTGATAGGTCATCGACAACATTTACATAAACAGTTGCTATGATGTCACTGGATATGCATTCTGGGAGATTTCAGGTACAACTCAGTTTGGGGTCGGCCTCTGAAAAATCTTCGTTTAAAGGGCCAGATAGCCATGAAACTTACCCCTACCCATCCTATTCCAACCAGAAACGGGACTACTTACCCCTAGAAGTGAATGTGCAAAGCGTAGGGGTAGAGTTAAGTTGTAGGGGAAATCCCATTATACCCCATATTGGGACTGAACCAAAGTTTTCTGTGTTTCAGGAGACGCTGGAGGTGGATGAAGATGACCGTCCTGAGCTGGCGTGGTGGAAGTGTAAGAAGTGGGCGCTGCGTATCATCACCAGACTGTTTGAGCGGTGAGTACAGAGCTGCTCTCAGATCAGCAGGAAACAGATCTGTTATCAGCAGCAGCCAATCACGTCCCTCTGCTCTGATTTGCAGGTATGGAAGTCCAGGCAATGTGACGAAGGAGTACTACGAGTTTGCAGACTTTTTCCTGAAGACGTACGCAGTGGGCATTCAGCAGGTAAGTGTGTGATTTTATCAGGAGCCTCAGTTTGAAAAGATAAAGACCAGCTTCAGGGAGCCATGCAGCATGAACAGTGTGTGTGTGTGTGTGTGTGTGTGTGTGCGCAGGTGTTACTGAAGGTGGTGGACCAGCACAGACAGAAGCAGTACGTCACTCCTCGCGTCCTGCAGCAGTGCATCAACTACCTGAACCAGAGCCTGTCACACTCAATCACCTGGAAACAGATGAAGCCGCACATGCAGGTGAGACATGCATGCATTCACACAAGCAAGGCACGATATAAAACTACCGTCAGTCACCAAACGTGATACAAACAACATTCCCAGACTGTGGAGTTTTGACACTCTGAGCTTATGAGTGTTTTTCATCTGTTCCAGGCGATTTGTCAGGAGGTCATCTTCCCTCTCATGTGTTACAAAGACGAGGACGAGAAACTCTGGCAGGAAGACCCGTACGAGTACATCCACATGAAGTTCAGTGAGTACAACGGACCTGACTCGATTGTGACAAACATTTGGAAGTGGTAATCTTAAACTTTTTTCACATCTGCACTCGAGGACTGCTCATGAAATCCTCCTGATCTGGTTGTTCACACATAAACCTCACAGCGAGAATCTAACCCTGTCAGATGTAAAAAATAAAGCGACCATTTATGAACACTCTGTAGTTGTAAATCTTATTGTCTGTTGTTTGATTGCTCCTGCTGTTTCGTCTGCAGTGCATGAATGTGTGTGAATGGATGAGTTAATACTGATGGACTCTTTACCGAGCAGCCTCTACCATCAGTGTGTGAATGTGTAGGTGTGACCTGCGGTGTAAAAGCGTTTTGAGTCGTCAGAAGACTAGAAAAGAAATATACAAGCTCAAGTCTATTTTCCCTCTTTTTTTTGCAGACCTGTACGATGATCACGCTCTGCCTGCCACGGCTGCACAGAGTCTCCTGTGTAAAGCTGCACGCAAGAGGAAGGAGGTGAGGAAACTTGTAACCGGAACAGCATGTCTGCAAAGATTTCACATCAATCTTCTTAATCCTCAGCATTGAAGTTAAATATGTACCATGTTCGACACACTTTTTAAGCCTTTTAACACTCTCCTCAACGTCTGTCTCACTCGAATCATGCAGCTGAGTTCTGCAGTGAATCTCTGATTAAACTTCTGTACGCTATAGGTGAAGCTTTATGCAGCAGGACAACAGTAGGAAGCAGGTTTCAGTCACTTTTACACTTTAAAGGCAGGGTTGGCAATTTCCTCCAGATCCCCTTTTTTAGATTTTGGTTTCTTTTGACCTCTTTAGGTCCTGAAATTAATAACTTGTACTCTGAAAAAGGAACAAAGAAAATCTGTCATCTGTAGCAGTTGTAAGTCTGTAAAAACTTCTGGCATGAGGTACCAATCTGATGAACCAATCTCTCTCTCTCTCTCTCTCTCTCTCTGTCTCTCTCTCTGTCTCTCTGCAGGTTCTTCCTCAGATCATGGAGTTCTGCCACCAGATACTCATGGACCCCTCTGCTGACCCCCGCAGGAAGGACGGGGCACTGCACTGCATCGGCGCTCTGGCTGAGCTCTTGCTCAAGGTACGTGGAAACGAGAGAGCGGGTAAAATATGTAGAAAGACGCTGCTCTCGTTTTGTGTGTTTTTTAATCGCCTCTCTGTGTGTTTCGCGTGTCTGATCCCACAGAAACGGGCGTACAGGGAGCAGATGGAGCTGATGCTGCAAAACTACGTCTTCCCTCTTCTGAACTCTCCGATGGGTTACCTGAGAGCCAGGGTGAGTGAAACGTGACTCTCTTCGTCTGATTTTAGAGAGAAAAACAGAGAGACAGACGCTCCAATGTGCTGAAGAAATTAATACATCTAATTAGCATAAAGTCATCCAAAGATTTGACTGATTTCTGTTTTGAGTTAGAAGAAGCCTCGTGCACCAAATACTTTCTACCTCCAGGAATAACTGCCCTCTGTTATCAGGTCATCACCTCATAACTCAGAGATAATCTACATCCACTCTTACTTATAAACTCTTTCACATTTTAACCACCTGCAGGACATGCAACAGTTAAACCTCTGCAACATTACAAAGGGCACTTCTAACTTTGACAAATCCTTTCAGTGTTGTCAGTTTGTCTTTCACTTTCCCCGAGGTCTTTGACTCCCACTCACAGACACAGTTTATTTCTTTTGTTTGGTTCAACCACACTTTCCAACGTTCATGACCTTAAATCCTCGTCAGAAAATCTTGCATTCTTTATCTGCAACATTTTCATGTGTTCACTTTGAGGGCGGAAAATCTGCCTTTAGCTTCTTTGCTCCAAACGTGGACTTCTTTTAAACCCTCTCTTAAGATCGACACTTTTATTTCTCTTGGACATGTCCAGTAAATTATCTCAAATCACTTCACCTCAGTGTGTGATTGTTTACTTTTGGTGCATTCACAGGTGCACAAAACAAATGTCACTCCGACTTTACCCAGAGTTTTTCCTGCCAGCCCCCTCATACATTTAAAAAGTGTATTTGGTGTGTCCTAATGTGAGAACACAGCAGGATATAATCGGGAAAATTCACCTCGGGCGAGTGAGGGTTACTCGAAACCAGTGGTTCTCAACTGGTGCCTCGGGACCCAAAAGGGGGTCACAGAGCAGTTTTTGTTGGGTCATAAAAAGTGTGTCTAAACACTGAAAATATTGTCAAAAATTCTATGAATCTTTTTTTAAAAACATGTTTGTTTTGTTTTGTTTCTTTGTTCCGTCTGAGGTCCAAACTGCACCAATTTAACAAATCTGATTGGTTCAAAAATATCTGAAAGTAGGGTAGTAATCTTTCATGAAGGAGTTGGTGGTGGGTCCTGAGGCAAGACCAGTTGAGAACCAGTATTCTAGACCAGTGGCTCTTAACTGGTGGCTCAGGGTCCAATAGTGGAAAACCTGATAAGAGCAGAAACATTTGTGCATCACATGAAGAAATTCATCAAAAACAGGAATAAATATTTCACTTCCACAAACAGGAAGAAGACTTGAACTAGTGCTGCAGCATTTTGTCAGCAGATGGCGCCACACTGCAGCTGAAAAAATTACATTATCATTGTCGCACTCCGGAAGCCACATGGTCGATCTGCTTCTGTATTTTGTGTCTGGTTCATGGTTTAAAGTTCTTGTAATGGTGCTCATCATCATCATTTGAGAAATGTGTTCTTGTGTGTTTAATTAAGAGGACTGTTACTTTTTGTTTTAACTCCTTCTGCAGTCCTGTTGGGTTGTTCATACCATCACTGTGAGCCCGTTTTTAAGAGTCTTCAGCACTACAGGTGTATTTGTAATCCTCACCGACACACCTGGGGGGTTCAGAGTCGTTAAAGCACCGTGGATGGACTGGGATGGACTTTTATTTCTTTTTGTTGTTGTGTAAATCTGCAGTGTGTGTGTTTTTGTTTTGGCAGTCGTGCTGGGTGCTGCACTGCTTCAGCCCACTGAGGTTCCACGATGAGGTGGTGCTGAGGAACGCAGTCGAGTTGGTCAAACAGGATCTGATCGACGACAAAGAGATGCCTGTCAAGGTGGAGGCCGCCATCGCTCTGCAGACGCTGGTCAGCAACCAGGAACAAGGTGAGTGGACGGAAGAAGACGTAATTTTAGGTTGGAAGTATGACTATCAACGCTCTCGCACTAAGTAATCTGTACCGTGTCTAAACACGCTTCACTCTCAAACTCCAGTTTGTTTGACGAGTGTGAGTTCTCTGATCCAATGTGCTTCAGCACAGTACGGGGCAACTAGGTCTAGTGTGAGTGCGCCCTAAGTTAAGTGCAAAGCTGAAGGGAGGATTGTCAGCCTAGCTTAGAATAGAGAAAATAAGCAGGGGTCAAAGTCTGACAGTAAAGATACCAGATGTAAAACGTAATTAATTCATCATTTAACACACTCTGTGCTCGTGTTTTTGTGTGTCTGCAGCCAAGCTGTACATCAGGCCGTACATCCGGCCCGTCATGCAGGAGCTCCTGCACGTGGTGAAAGAGACGGAGAACGACGACCTGACCAACGTCATCCAGAAGATGATCTGCGAGTACAACCAGGAGGTGGCGGCCATCGCTGTGGACATGACGCAGAACCTGGTCGGTGCACAACGCGCACACATTTCATGCATCTTCAAACGCAGTTAGATTTTGGTATTTTCTAAACTTGGAGCCTATTCCCACATTTTAAAGGATATTAAATATGTACAAAATTGTAGAGTAGAAGAAGACAAAGAATGTAGCAGTACCTGAAATGCAGAAGTCCAATACAGATTCTTTCAGCACTGCGCATCAATTTACCACCAAGAAGATGAACAGGAAGTCAGATACAGAAACGACATTAAAACATCCGGTTTATTTTCAGAAGAAAACTTTCAGTTTTTTTGACGGCTGGGGAAAATGACCTTATGTGTGTTAGTTGTTGTGTTTATACCATTTAAAAAGAAAAACACATGCATCGAATTATCTCGCTTTGTCACGCAAGTTTTTTAAATTACCGCAGGAACTCCTTGGTCTCGTGACTCAAAACTGTCCGGTGGTGCTGCTCCGTGCTGCGCTCTGATAACGCAGCCTGTGGGTGTCGACAGGCGAGCACAGAGCAGCACCGGAGCAGAGCTGACACGTGACGCACACATACCTGATGGAAGTTCAGTGTAAGAGATTAACACTCGGAGCCTGTCAGGGACAATCAACAACTTAAAGTGGACACACTTTGAGCAGATGCATACCTGTATGAGGATTATGTTGCAACAACTACAGCCTATTTCTGCTGGCTGAAGCAAACTGCTGGAGCAAATCCTCAAACTTTCTTAACCTGCTAGGCGTCATAGGATTTAAAAACAGGGGAATGTTTCAAAATACAAGAATTAAAAAATTGAAAACGCTTTGTTTTTTGTATTAAACTGTATGTCCCTAACTGTTGAAGATGTGTAATATTGTGCATGTGTGTGTGTGGCAGGCGGAGATCTTCACCAGGGTCCTTCAGAGCGAGGAGTACGAGGAGAACGAGGATAAAACTGTCATGGCGCTGGGCATCCTCAGCACCATCGACACCATCCTCACTGTCATGGAGGACCACAAGGAGGTCTGTAACATACAAACACACACACACGCACATATTCAGAATGTTTCACATGATTTGATTGTGATATTGTGTCTTTCCTTTTTTCAGATCACTCAGCAGCTGGAGGGAATCTGTCTACAGGTGATCGGCCTGGTCCTACAGAAGCCCATCATAGGTATGGCAGGTGTGTGTGCACGGGCGCCCAGTGTTTTTTTTTTTTCTAATACTCACACACAAACACACACACACACATTCTGATTCATATTCCTGCTGCTTCAGCATTTTGCTGCTTTAACGTCTCCCTGAAACTGTAAATTATTTAGGTTTTGTTGCTCTAATAATTAGTTGAAGCTTCCAGAGATGTTTTGAAATGTTCATGTTAACAATGTGGAATTAATTACAATTTAATCTTTATAACGATATGAGCATCACGTTAAAAACATCACAAAAGTCTGAATTTATTGCAATTCATATGAAGAAAAACATTAAAGGTCACATATTCTCCTCCTCTTCAACCAGTTTAAATAATTCTCAAAGCTCCCCAAAACATGTCTGTGAAGTTTCTTGTTCTAAATCCACTCTGATCCTGTATTTGATCATGTCTATAAACCCCTCTATTTCAGCCCTGATCAGAACAGGCTGTTTCTGTGTCTGTACCTTTAAATGTAAATGAGCTGTGTCTGACCACACCCCCTCTCTGGAAGGGCTTGGGTGTACTCGGGCTTTCTCGCTCCATGTCCTATTGTTTACGGTGAGAAGGCAGACTCAGAGGGCAGAACAAACACCTAGCTGTGGGAGTGTCACCCACCTGGGGGAGGGGCTACTGCCCTTTGTGATGTTATGAAGGGAACATCTCCAAACAGACTGTTTGAACACACATTTTCTGAAAAGTGGAGCAGGCAAAAGACGGAGAGAATGGACTTATCTCATCATTGGGGGGATTGTAGACGGACTAGAGACACATATTAGAGTTAGAGAAACATGAAATGTGTTTTGCAAATACAGGTTTGAAGATAAACATGAAGTACAGCATATAGACATAAAAACATTAATATGCACTCAATCGTATAAGCTTAATTATTGCACTTCATGTCGTTATCCCGATGTTGAACATATCCTGCAGGCCTTGGAGGCATAACTATGGAGTGAAGTGAAAAGTTTGTGCTTGCTCCTTTTCATTCTGAGAGGTTTTGTCGACCAATCAAAGATCCCCAACTAATCCCATTAATTTAAACGTACTGTATGTGTAACTCAGCCCGCAGAGAAATGGTGGTTGGTGTTGTTACGATGTGAAGCTTTCTGCAGTGATGTTTTAAAAACTGTCAGAGCTAAAAGCATGTCTAGTGGAGGAGCGCGGAGTCTCGGGGGATTTCTCTCCTGAGTGCCAAGCTGTTGTGATGTGACAAAAGAAGACAAGAAAATGAAAGGCCACTGCTTTGCCACATTCTGTGAGCAAGGCAAAGAAAGGGTGCACTCTAAAGCTCTTGTAGTGACAAGATGGTGAGCGAATACATGCACAACTTATATTCATCGCTTTGAAATTATAAACTAAAAAAAAGAGATCAAGCTCGTTAAAGCAAGTGAAAAATCTGCTCCAGTTTGTTCATCAACTTGCTGTGTTTAAAAGGTTTTCTTTTAATATGAACTGAATGTACAATAAAACTCCACAGAAGAGCCGTTAAAGGAGATCTGTTAAACCCACTTTCATCATTAATGATGTCTGTCTGGGACACCTGCTGAGCAGCGTTGTGAGATGTGGGACTCAAGATCCTCCTTATTTCACTGATACTGGCGTCAGTAAAATCCCTCATTTCAGCCTCTGCCTGAAACGCTTCATTTCAGCTGCTGTCTCTTTAAGGCCCGTCTCTTTAGTGCCAACTCTCCTCTGATTGACCAGCTCTGTTTGCAGTTGCAGGGAGATTTGAGTGAGTTTCCTGGTGGGCGTGTCCTTTAAAAAGAGCTACAAGGGTGGGCGTGTCCTACAGCTTTTCTCCATGCTTTGCTCTGATACGTCGGAAGAACCTGACGTCACGTCCTGGCCAAGTCTCGTGAAGTTCTTGTAAACTCTCGTTCAGAGCAGCAGGCAACCACGTCCGGGGATTACACTAACAACTGTGAATGTTGTGTTTGAACAAACCTGTTGACAAGGTTTAGTATGGACATCCAACATCGTGATGTTACGATGATCTCCGATGAGTTTCTTCAAAAACAAAGGTGACAAGAGAAAGTGTGTTTGTGCACTTCTTTATGCACTCCCTGTTTGTGTGGCCGATGTTAACGTTTGCACGTTGTTAAAAAGGAGAAGCAAGGAGGCAGTGAAAGAATCTGTGTTTAAGTAATCCGAGCTGTGTGCCGGCTGCAGCATCGGATCCTCGCGCTCCCTTAATGAATGGATTAGCTGATAACCCCCCGCTGTCTGAAAGAAAGGCTGTGTTCATGCAGAGGCACATAAAGCAGCAGGAGAGGGTCGTAATGATCAACATGAAAGATGGAGGGGGCGGGATCATTTTTCAACACTGAGTCTATTTGCCACATAGACTGCCACACAATCCTGAACAGCTGTGCTTTCTGCCCTTTTACTTTTTACATGAATCCCAGAGGAGGAGGAGGAGGAGGAGGGGGAGGGATCTGAACTCATCAATGGCGACTTTTAATCAGAGTAAAGATCCTCCTCAGGGGAATAACAGCTTCTCTACATCTGCTGAAAGACTTTTGTCTAAATGAAGGTATAAAACGCTCCAAAAATTAAACCTTAAAAAAAAAAAAAAAGAATCATCTGTCCTCATGTCCGTGGTCCGCCACTTTTTCTAAAATCGGTTAAGATGTGAGGAGTGTAGCGAGCCTGAAGCAGACGCCTCCAGTTTGAAAAAGTGAGTTTTCTGAACCATCTTTTAAGCCGTCAGCTGAGATCTTTCTTGCGGACGTGCTCTGTTCCCTAAATTTCCCTTGCCTATCGAGCGGTCTGGTTTTAGAGGCGTTGTCGTGTTGAGTCGACTCTCTGTGGTGTGTCGTCACGGAGCAGAGATTTTCCGCTGGTTATCGTCAGACGGGGGCGTGGGGGACAGACACGTCCGGTCCGGCCTGCTGTTGTGAACCACTCAGTTCCACCCCCCCCTCGGCCTGCCTCGTTATCATTTCTGTGACACAGATCTGTCATCCTCTCTTTGAAGTCTCAGTCCGCTCTTCTCGACTGTCTGCAGGAGGTTTATCCATCATGTTGTCTTTCATCTTAACACTCTGCTGCCTCCCAGAGCGTCTCTTATGGACTCTTTATTGACGCTCTGCTGACACCATCGTTATGAACAATGTTTTGATGCATCACTGTCATTTATTCCCCCCCCCCCCCCCCGCTGTGTGTCCCGTTTACCGTCTTTGGAGGAACATGGTTTGGTATAATGGAGTCATGTTTTCCATGTCTCACATCTCCTCCTATATCTGATAATCTACTGTCACCAACACGCTTGTCACCCTCATCAATGTCACTACACAGTTTCCGAGCTCTGTGTCGTATTCTTTCTGCACTCTGCAAAGTTTGTTACTCTTTTTTTTTAAGGATTGTTTCGGGGCATTTTATGTCTTTGTTTAGAGACACGAGAGTGGATAGAGTCAGAAATTTGAGAGTGAGCAATGACATGCAGGGAAGGAGACAAGGAATCAGATTTGAACCCGGGCCGTCCGCTTTGAGGACTACAACCTCTGTACATGGGGCGGGCGCACTAACCTCTTTACAAACATTATGCCTAACTTGTACCCTGTAAAAATATAACGAATAATGAAACTATTTAAATGTCTTTATCAAATTTCTATAACTTATTATGAATTACATTTTGATGCTTTGGGATAGAATGTAGGAAATTGGGCAATAGAGAACGAAGGATCAATCTGTAAGATATGTGAATGAAATGAAATGATAAAGTGACCTTACTATATGATCACACATTAAGGAAACATGCTATGTTGAAGTGCTGGCTTCTCTGACAACAATGCAGCAGTCAGTATGTCCTCCTTCTAACTTTAGATTCTGCTCCTGAATGCTCTGGATTTGTTTGGACCAGAGAAGGTAGACGGTTTTAAGGCACCCCCCCACACACACGGCCGTTTTGGACGCCCCTCGGTTTGCCAGATATGAGAGCAGTTATCAGGTCAAACCAACAGGTGTTGCAGCGATGGAAGCGGGCAAGAGAAGTGGTTCAAGATAGAAGTGATTGTACCCGACCTAAAAAGCCTCTGCAAAACTGCACATCGTCTCATGGAGCAATGGCATGTTTTTCAGTGCTTCCCGCTTAGCCTTCTATCAGCGATGAAACACTTTCTTTTCTGTGTGTTGCCTTTTTTTACAGTCCGACTAACTACGTCAGAAGCAAGAAAAATGATGGAAACACATCTGAGAGCAGATTGACAACATGCTGATATCTGTTTATAGACATGAACTCAAACTAAACTGTCGTTAGATGATTGGTTCCAGGATTGCTTTAGGGGAGATTTAGACGATCAAAGCTGCAGACATGTGAGTGCAGCACAAACAAACACGAGAATAGAACTCAAAGCTCCAAACGTAAAGATTCCCCGCTGCTCTGAAACCTCGCTCACACTCTTATCTTAAACTTGATACTTCAAACATGCAGAACATCTGATTGAGTTGATGATTCTGTTCATTTTAAACACATTTATATAAACACCTGTCTTCGTTATCCCTCTCGTGGCTGAACTCGCACACAAGAAGGTGTGAACGTCTGTGCTGCCTTCATTATCCTTCCTCTCTCGTCCTCTGCAGAGTTCTACGAGGAGATCCTCTCTCTGGCGTTCGGTCTCACCTGTCAGACCATCTCCCCCCAGATGTGGCAGCTCCTCGGCGTCCTGTACGAGGTCTTCCAGCACGACTGCTTCGACTACTTCACAGGTCTGTCTCTCGTCTGGTATACGAGGAGGAGGTGCTCTGATGGTTTCTGCTAAACGAACGCAGCTCTTTTCATTTAAAACAGAGCAGTGTTCTTTAAAGTAGCACAGGCTTACATTGAAGTTAGAAGTTAGCATTTAGTTAGCACATCTTCTTTTTTACTTGTTATGGTTCGACTGCTTCACTTTGAGAAAGATGCTGGAGATTTGAGATCTTGCACTTTCATGATTATTTCTGCTCTCCCAGTGTACCATTATTTACACGTTGTTACATCCCTGCATGCAACCGTCTTTGATGTTGCGTGTTTGCGTTTCAGACATGATGCCACTCTTGCACAACTACGTCACCGTGGACACCGACATGCTCCTGTCCAACCCGAAGCACTTAGAGGTCATCTACAACATGTGTAAAAAGGTCCGACTCAACCTTCTTCACCTGATTCTCACAGATATAGAAACCGTTAAAGTTTCCCGGAGTAATTGTTTGACCTTTGACCCGTCTCAGGTGTTGACTATAGACGCAGGTGAGGATGCAGAGTGTCACGCTGCCAAACTGCTGGAGGTCATCATCCTGCAGTGCAGAGGACGAGGCATCGACCAGGTCAGAAACACCCAAAACACAATGCTGAAAATGATTGTTTAAAAACGTTAGACGGGGCGCTGGTGGCGCAGTGGTTAGAGCGTGCGCCCCATGTATGGAGGCTATAGTCCTCCAAACGGGCGGCCCGGGTTCCAATCCCACCTGTGACTCCCTTCCCGCATGTCATTCCTCTCTCTCTCTCTCTCTCTCTCTCTCTCTCTCTCTCTCTGATTTCCGACACAGTCCACTGTCCTATCTCTCCATTAAAGGCACAAAAAGCCCAAAAAGAAATCTTTAACTAACACTCGACAAAAAACTTTCTGAACTCTTGTTTTATCCAGTTCAGTTGCATTTGAATTGAATTGAATTGAATTTATTTATTTAATAGGGACAATGCAATTTAACATAATTTCAATACAAAGCATGAAACTGATGTGCTGCATAAAGAGTATATAGCTGTTGCTAATTTCCAACTCGTGTCCCCAGTTTGGCCTTTGAACTGTTCAAGCACAAGCTTGAACAGTTCAAGTGTTTAAAATGCACAGTATGTCAATTCCAGTTGAACGTTGTCATGGCGACCAGGCGAAACCGACCGGAGGAAGAGAATACGTTACAGACGAGCTAATGTATCCGAGTACAAGTTTACATGATTTTTTTGGCGAGTTTTTCCTTTAAAGAGAGACAGGAAGTGTTGGGAGTAGAGAGTGGGGGGGGGTGACACACAGCAAAGGGGCCGAGGGTAGACTCGAATCCACAGCCGCTGCAATCAGGACTAAAGCCCCCTTTAATGGGGCGCGCGTCATAACCGCTAGGCTATTGGCGCCCCTACATGATGATTTTTTTTTTTTTGTCACAGCAGCACATACAGCATAAGTACGACAGCTTTTAGTAGCAGCAAACGCTTCCTTATGCAGCGGTCTTCAACTTAAGATCCGGTGTTTCCATGGCAACGATGGTGTCTTATCATAGAAGCTGCCAGCAGGTTTAATCAGTTTTTAATTAGTAAAAATTTGACATATTGCACCTTTTAAATAAGGAAAGTAATGTCTATTCCAAGACAATCGATCTCCTTCATGAATGTGACGTACCTGAAACAATCGCAGATCAAACGTTTGAGCTCCAGAAGGTTAACACTTGGTGCGTGTTCCCTCTCTGCAGGTCATCCCTCTGTTCGTGGAGGTCGTCCTGGAGCGTCTGATGCGGGGGGTGAAGTCCAGCGAGCTGAGGACCATGTGTCTGCAGGTGGCCATGCCGCCCTGTACTACAACCCGGCTCTGCTCATCCACACGCTGGACAACATGCACTTCCAACACAACCCGCAACCGATCACTGCACACTTCATCAACCAGTGGATGAACGACACCGAGTTCTTCCTGGGGTAGGGAGGAGAAGGGGGGGGGGTTCATTTGTTTTCTTCAGATATTTTCAACTCATGTGTCTTGAGCACTGCTGAACAGGATAAACAGGAAATACATCATCTAAATCATCTATCAGAAGAGCGTTCAAAATGTGAATTAATTAAGTCTGCAGTCTAATCCTTCAGTTTGATGTAATTGACTGATTAGTGGCTCATAATGCGGTTAGAGGGTCCATTAGCTGCGCTGTATTAGTCATCAGTCTTATCTAATCTCGCCCAGTCTCCCTAATCTCGCTCCTGTCTCCGCTCATGTTTATTCAGTCTGTTTTTAATTCAGAGTCACCTCAGCTGTCAGAGAGATAACAGGACACAGAGTTTGTGTTTGAAGAGAAACTCGAGGGGAATCCAAAGAGAAAGCCTGGACACAGTGGGGTCAGTGAGAACAGATGAGCTCCACCTGAGTCCTTTTTTCAATTGTTTTCAATGAGGAGAGAGCGTTTGCAGCAGCAGCCTCAGAGCGCTCAGGTTGAAAATTGTTCAACTTTTCAGAAAGGCGCTGTTGGCGTCACCGGCGCTCTTTTCCAAATGTAAGATATTCCCCGTAGTTTAGCCGCCTACCGATCGTGTGTTGTACCCACATCCTCCTCGCTCCGTGTCTGATCGCAAAATAGAAATAAAAAATCAGTTAAAAGCAGCTGAGCAGTCTCGGTCATACAGCGGCCGTTGTCAACAGATTGTTGTCATCGAGACAGGGCGGACTTACAGCACTTTTCTCTTCAGTGCTTAAACGCTTCATACAACTATAAAATGACAAAAATATAGAATTCCTGATCTTCTCTCTGATTCTTTTCCACAGTCTCCACGACCGTAAGATGTGCATCATCGGCCTGAGCGTGCTGATGGAGCTGCCCAGCCGGCCGGCGGTGCTGGACGGTGTCGCCGCCCAGATCGTCCCCTCCGTCCTGCTCCTCTTCCTGGGTCTGAAACACCTCTACGCCTCCCGGCTCGCCAACAAACCCGACCTGCTGGCCCGCGGGGGCGCCCAGGATGAAGACCAGAACGGTGAGAAAAGACGAGGACGGTCTGAGGAGAGAAAAAAAAAAAGGAGGAGTGGGGACGAGGTGTCGGAGCTAATGTAGAGTGAATTAACGCGTGGAAGAGAAACCGCCTCAGTGACAATAATGAAATGAGATTCTCGGTTCCTCCGCCACAAGAATCTTGATTCAGCTCTGAGCTCAAATTAGCCGCCCCGCTTTTACTTTCTCAGCCCTGCCGGCTCGGCTTTGCCTCAGTCAAGCGTAAAAGAATTAGATTCCTAAACCTTGTCTACTGCTTGTGGGGCAGACTGATAAATTAACTCAGCGTTACAGTGACGGCTAAAGGTTTCTCCTGCGGCCGGGTATTAGAAATGCATTGATTTCACCCCATTAACGGGTTTACGCTTAATGGAAAAGCGAACGTTTCCTCCAGTGTATGTGTTCAGGTTTGAAAGATGCTTTCAGTCATGACGAAGGGTAAAAAAAAAAAGGACGACCTCACCGAGCTAATATCAAGCAACAGAAAACTTTTTCAAGTTTACATCGAGAGCCCTGACACACAAGTGTTTGTTAATTCATTACACATTCACTGACTTTGCAAACTCTCTCCAGATTCTGGATAGAAATGTAAATTATTTTTAAACTCTTCTGGGGAGAATCTTGCAAAAAAAAAAGTTTTCTCTATTTCCACCATGGCATCAGCGTTTTACAAACTTTCTCTCTTAATCCAACTACATGTTTAAAGGAGCAACATGTAACTCTGGCCCCTATTGTTCAAAATGGGTACTGCAGTCCAAATTCTAAACATTGTAGAGAGCTGTCTCCCCCCCTCCTCTCTAGAGTCGATGCTCACACAGGTTGCCATGTGGTGGACACTGAAGCTTCAGTGTTTATCCAGCTCTGCATCGGTCAGTAAACCTTTCTGTGTTCTAACCTCTCTCCATTTTTCAAAAAGCATCTCCAATATTGATCCTAGTTTGAGCACGTTTCTGCTCGTAGAGCTTATTAGAAACATGCAGAGGCTTTTTAGGTCGGGTACAATCACTTCTATCTGAACCACTTCTCTTGCCCGCTTCCATCGCTGCAACACCTGTTGACCTGATAACTGCTCTCATATCTGGCAAACCGAGGGGCGTCCAAAACGGCCGTGTGGGGGGTGACTTAAAACCGCCTACCTTCTCTTGTCTATATTTCCACCCTTATAATACTTATTTTTCAAGTAGCTCTTTCACCTAGGAGTCTATACTGAGATAAATATCTGCGTCACAGGGGTTTGTTGTGTTTTTCTAACTGCAGAGGAGATTCCCAGCGATGAAGACGAGGTGAACGAGAACCGCAACGCCATGCAGCAGCAGTGCAGCATGCCGGCGGGTCAGGGCGGGGAGGACGATGACGAGGACGAAGACGACTACTGGGACGACGACGGCTTCGAGGGGACGCCTCTGGAGGAGTACAGCACGCCTCTGGACTACGACAACGGAGAGGACGAGTATCGGTTCTTCACTGCCGCGCTCCTCCGTAAGTCCCCGGGCGATGCGTCGGCTTAGTTCTGTTCAGTCTATCCTAAATCGTGTTTTCAACAACACAGGTGATATTTTACAGCCTTATCATAGAGAATCTTGTTCATTATAATTTGAATATCTCAGCGCTTTCTTCATATTTTTACCCGCTCCCCTTTCTTCATTTATTTTCGACAAAGACCCTCACACAAACAGGAGATGCTTATAGTTCATTCAATTTCCTATTTATGGTATCAATTTGACAAACGTGATCTAATATGCAGCTAAATTAAAGCTCTCAGTCTGAAGCGGGGGGGGGGCAACTGGCGGCCAGGGTGTCACATGCGGCCCCCCTCCTCTCTCTGTGAGGCTTGCAAGTCTATTTCATATATGAAAACATGAAAAAAAAACGAGTGGAGGCTTAAATTGCCCATACAATGTACTCAAAGACCAAATGTTCTGGAACCTGAAGAATAGAAAACCTTATTGGTATATAATAATCTAATAGAAATGTAAGTAAAATCCACATAATAACCAGTGAAGACTGTTTAAACTCCTTTTTTCATTTGTATCCCTTCTTGAGAAGTGATTTTAACAATAAATGATCATAAATCTTTATTTGGTCAGGCGTCCAGAACGGCGACACAGCCTGGTATCAGTGTCTGACGGCTCCGCTCAGCGACGACCAGAAGAAACAGCTGCAGGAGATCTACAGCATCTCTCAACAGAGGAGGAGCACCGCCGGCAAGGGCCAGTGGTGAGAGGAGACACACAACACCGCAGAACACAGATGAAGAGTTAGAGGCCAGATGAGGAGAATAAAACCACGTTTAGAGGTTTCAAAGTCAAACATGGACATGATGAAGTGACCTTACTATCTGATCAGACATTAAGGAAACATGCCATGTTCGAGTTGACCTGAGTTTATTTGTGTTTTCAGAGGCGACAGACGAGCGGCAGAGTTGGAGGAGGAGGGATGAAGATGAGGGGGAGCTGGTCTGACCTGAGCTGAGGAAGAAGAACTCACTCCAACCTGAATAATCTCAGTCCAGATCAGACCACAACGGACTGAAAGGATCCCAACAAAACCAGGTCGCAGGGTGTGGACTGAGCTGGAGGGGGCAGCAGAGTCTGTTTTACATCAGTTTGGACCTGGAGCACTGTACTGGAATATTCCTAACACCAGGACAGGACTGCTGGCCTGCGTGTGTGTGTGCGTGTGTGTGTGTGTGTGTGTGTGTGTGCGCGTGCATGTGTGTGTGTGTGCGCGTGCATGTGTGTGTGTGGACTGCATTATATATATAAATGTCCTCGACCAGCAGAATTCGTAGAAGTTCTTGTACAGCGCAGTCCTTTTCTTTGAATTTGTGTGCGTGTGTGTGCGTGTGCGTGCGTGTGCGTGCGTGCGTGTGCGTGCGTGTGTGTGTGTGTGTGTGTGTGTGTGTGTGTGTGTGTGTGTGTGTGTGTGTGTGTGTGTGTGTGTGTGTGTGTGTGTGTGTGTGTGTGTGTGTGTGTGTGTGTGTGTGTGTCACTGAAAGCACACGAGTGTGTGTTTGTTCGTACTGTAAGCGCTCGTCTCCGTCTCTCTGTAGTTGAACACTTTTTATCATCTCACGACTTGAGGATTAAGGAGAATCATGTGGTCTGTCAGGGTGCCTTGAATTCAGACTGAAGAAAGACGAGAAGGTCGAGGTTTGGAGAAAGACTCGGGGTCTCCAGCTGTGACGTCACACATGAAATGTAAAAGGGGCGCGGAGGTTATCTCTGGAGAAGCGATCTTTTTGTCTTTCCGTTTGTTCCTGGATTTTGTTTTTGTAACGGTTTTCAGAACTAATTTAAGAAAATCATAAAAGTTCATGTAACATTTCTCTGAGCTCTTCTTCTTATTTCATCCTTCTTTAATCGCTCCAACTCGTCGCGGCCGACAGTTTGTCTCTCTCATACAGAAAACTGGATGGATGTTTTGTATCTCTAATGATTGTTTTCTTTTAGGGTCTACGTCTCGACGACATCACAGTATTTAGATCAGGAGAGACTTCATTAAAAGTGAACAAAAAAAGATAAATACACAATGTTTCTGGAGATTAGACTCCGAAATGATGAGGGGTAGTGAGGCCGACAGCAGGATAGGATACCCCCCCACCCCCTTGATGGAGTCTAGACCCTGGTGGTGGTGGTGGTGGTGATTCCCCCCTGATGGAGTCTAGATTCCTGTTGTTGTCAGAGGAGTCTGGTGTCTTTGGAGAGAGCGATGTAACAGCTGTTTCTGGTTTGACTTAAGAACACTTCCTCAATATTTTTTTCTAGGAAATGTAAATCAATAACTGCAGTAAAAAATGAAGTTAAACATGTCTTGCAGTTTGAGAGCACTCACCTTGGTATTGTCCTTGAATTCTGCGGCAGAGATGAGACACATAAAATGTTTTAGTCCTGACTGAAGCTCAGAAAGTAATCGCTGTCCAACGGGCAGTTTGTCATCTTTTATTCACAGTCTCTCTCCGGAGCCGCCGCTTCTCTGGCCTCCTGCCTTCCCCTCTGACTTTGTATTCCCTGTGTGTTTGACCGCAGCTCGTGTGTATTAATGCGTCTTTTCCCCCGCCCGTGCGCGTCTATACTGCGTGCGTGTTTTACAGGACATAAAAAGAGCAGCCGAGCACAGAGGAGCTGACCTGCGTGGAGGGATGTGGGATGTCAGCAGTGGTTTCCTTTCCTGGTGTTTGTGTACGTTCTTCTGTGGTCATAAAGCCCTGCAGGAAACTCAGCCCGCAGCGTTTGAATGATCAGATTTCTGTCTCTGCTCTCCATCGCAGAACTTATAATCATTTGTCCTGCGTGCAAATGACAGCAGCTGGTGGAAGATGTTTTTTTTTATTTTTATTTTTTATCGGTCTGACATATTTAGGCCGAGTGAGGATGCTGCTGCTGCTGCTGCTGCAGAGACGAGCATTCTCACACCCCGGAGAGGAGAGCTGAAGGAGTGAATGCAGAGGATGTTATGAAGGAGAGGTGAAAGGAAAGACCAGCGAGAGATCACCTCCTCCTCCTCCGCCAACAGTGTACGAGTCGAGGTGATTTGCTGCCTCACTTTCAGCCTCTCCTGACACATCGGTACGGGTGATATGTGGAGTTGTAAAAAATTGGATTCATCCTTGTTGAGTCTGTAAAGCTGTGGTGAAGATCGAACATAGTAAAGGTACTTTCTGGCTGCTTTCAAATTTGTAAATTACGTTGAACCGATGTTTTGGAACTTGGTCCCAAGCTAGCAGCCAGAAGCCAAAATTGGATTTAGTTGCTCTGGTTCGTTTTAGCTTCCGAAAACATTTTTTTCCTAACTCATCAGTTTTGATTATACGAAGGAGAAGAGCTTTGCAAAAATGTGCATAATGGGGTCATTGTTTCGTTGAATGATGGACCCCTCTGTGACACATGTATACAAAGTGTCCTGATCTGACCGAACCCAGGTGAAGGCAAAGATCAGCCAGTCGCCCAGGTATGGGTGGACCTGCGTACCCCCGGCCTGCATCAGGGCCAATGCTGCCTGCGTGCACTGTGAGAAGACCTGAGGCACCAGGGACAGCCCGGAAGGTAGAAAAGAAGTGAATTACCAAATCTGGATCAGTTTTATCCGGATTAAACTCTCTGAACGAGCCCTGCTGATAACATGTAAAGGTGGAGGATGGCACGAGACCAAACCCTCTGAAGAAAGTGAAAAATCAGAGAAGCTGTCAAAACTCTTTTAGTAACAGTTAGGAGACATGTTGAGGAGTTTGTGTTGAAGTTTTGGAGAAGAAGCCCTCAGCGTGACAGCTGCAGATCTGTGTGTGTGTTGTGTTTACTCTCCCCGAGGCAGAGAGCTGTCTCAGGTGAGAGGTGTGTGCGTCTGTCAGAGGCAGCGACCCACATACGACGATGGATGGCTTCGAGCGCACAGGTGAAGAGACAGGACAACATTTACACGCCGTTGTGTTTTTAATCCTCTCGGTGTACCAACACGCTCCTCTCACACCGTAAATCTGACGTGTTCTGACGGCGCTTCAGGAGTTTTCTAACGTCCTCAAAGCATGACACGGACAAATAAATCCCTGCTGTGATCCATGAGCGAGCGCTTTTGATTCACCCCAGACACATGAATTCTACGTTCTGTGAGTGTGTGTGTTTCCTGATCACACAGAGCTCATGGTGGCACTATTGGGCGCCATGAAATGCTTTAATTAAGCTTTTTAATGGAACTCATTCGTTTAATGAATTCCTAGTTACACCTTTTAAAGATGTTCTAACTACAGGATTCTCATCTGCATAACAGCTCGACAACATTTTCAGTTCAATGCTCAATCTTAAGAGAAACGCTGAGAGAGTGGGGAACGACCATAGACTGTAAATATGGATGTTTGAAGGCTGAGTGACGCTCATCGGCAGCCGCCGCCATGCTGGAATTGGTCTGAGCCTAACTTTCAGTCAACCTAACGACAGGCTGAGAGCTGGAGCTGAGGCGGGTTCTAAGCCTCCTGACAAACCGTTACACCGCGCCCCGCCTGTCAATCAGGTCAGCTACACGCCTAACTTTGGATAACATGTATCGTTCATGAAATCAAAACAGAGATGTTTAAAAAAAAAAAAAAAAAAACACCCCCGCACACTACAGTGTGTGCCAGTGATGACAATAACTAATCAGACCTATTTGTTTTTTTTTAACCAGGCTGTAAACATGTTAATCTCGTCTGTACAAACAGGCTTTTTTTAGGCTGTGGTGTGTATGTGACTTCCTGTGTTCCTGCAGCCAGCCTCTAGGAACTGCAGGATCTTTCCACTTCCGCATTAGCTTCATTTTTCCAAGACCGGAGGTTGCCTCTTGGCTTCTTGGGATCGACATGGGGGGGGGGGGAACAGCCACAGGCCAGACAGGTGAGAGATTCCAAAGGAAACTTACAGACAACCACACACACGTGAGCACATAAATAAACCGTTAGCTGTGATCGCATACATTGTAGACAGCAGATCTCCTCTTTCTGAAGAAGCACGATATAACCATTTTTCTTTTTCTGCACGTGAAGATAAATATCCTCTACTGTGATGGGATTTAAGGGACTGTTTGACTGAGCTGCTCAAAGACCAGAGACCTTTTATGATGAAGCCTCCAGAGCAGATAAACATCACTGTGTCGTGTCCTCTTCAGCCCGGTGATACTGATGCCCGTACGACCCTCTGATACGAGTTTCATTTCTGCAGAGCGTTATGTAAATCAGCTCCTTTGCTGCTGGATGTAATCAGTGATCAAAGCAGAGCTCATGTTGACGCTGTGTTTCATAAATCAGATTTACAGACTCATAAATCCGTCTCACTCTTAAACCAGAACTCGTCTCCGTCGTCTCGTTGCAGAGGTTGGACCCTCGGGTGACTGTTTGGCCCTCGCTTTATCGTCCACCCTCACCTCATAACGTCTGCTCTTATTATTCCACAAAATTCTCCTCGGCGGCCTCTCCGTGCAGCGATTTATTATATGAGTCTTGTTAATCTCTCGGTGTGATTGCATATTAAGTGTCAGTCTTTCTTGTCCAGCTGATTTGACGGCGCGTCCCCTCTCTCTCTCTCTCTCTCTCTCTCTCTCTCTCTCTCTCTCTCTCTCTCTCTCTCTCAGTATCCTCGAGGTGCTCGTCAAACGCAGTCTTCCCCGTGCTCTTCATAGCTGAGTGGCACTCTAATCACCTTTCCCTCTAATGGCCTATTCAACCTATAGCACTATGGGTAATATTTAACGGGCCTCCTCTGCGCGGGAAGGCAGGACGTGTCATAACGAGAGCTATCACCGTTTAGAGGCGTCAGGCTGCAGTAATGAAATGAAAAACTACAGCGGAGGACGCCGGCCCGATCGCTTTCTGCAAGAATAACAACCACAGCAAACATTTATGTCTTCACTTGCAACCATAGTGGAATAAAACTGAGGGGCTTTACTCAAAGTTTAATTTCACAGCTGATGGTACCACTAAAGGCCATTTGTTCAGACACATAAAAAACCAAACCAATCAAAGTATTTTGATTATCTTTGGACGAGCACATGGAGAGCATAGAGTCAAACCAAGATCGATTAAGTAAATATTTTTGTGCCTTTAATGGAGAGAGAGGTCAGTGGACAGAGTCAGAAATCAAGTAGAGAGAGGGAGAGTAGGGAATGAAATGCAGGAAAGGAACCACAAGTCGGATTTAAACCCGGGCTGCCTGCTTCGAGGACTACAGCCTCTGTACATGGGGCGCGCAAACTAACCACTACACCACCGGTTCTTTGAGATCCAAAATGTATGATCTGCAAATGTGAAACAGCATCCTCTTTTTTTTTTTTTTTGTATCCACAAAATAAATTCAATAAAGTATAGAATTATTTCAAACCAACTTGGTTCCCACGCCCCCTCCTCTCTAGAGTCCATGCTCACACAGGTTGCCATGTG